AACGAAAAAGAAATTTCTGCGACGAACAGAACGAAAAAAATTCTGCGACGAACAGAACGAAAAAAATTCTGCGACGAACAGAACGAAAAAAAATTCTGCGACGAACAGAACGCGACAAAATGTCGTGCGACGAAGTGATCGTGCGACGAAGTGATTGCGACGAAGTGAACGCGACGAAGTGTCGTGCGACGAAGTGTACTAGTGCCCAATTCCAATTCCAATCAATTCCAATTCTTAGAATTGGTTGGAATTGGTAGGAATTGGAATTGGAATTGGTTGGAATTGGAATTGGAATTGGAATTGTAGGAATTGGAATTGGTTAGAATTGGGTCAAGTCACCTAAAAATCTTATGGAACCCCAGTAATTGGTATGGAATTGGTCTGAAACTGGCTAGACTTGGCTTGAGCTGACTATAATTGGTATGGAGTCCTAAGAATTGTTATGTAATTGGCCTGAAATTGGCTCGAATTGGACCGTATTGCCTACAACTCGCATGGAATCCTAGGAACTGGTATGGAATTGGTCTGAAACTGGCCCGAATTGGCTTGAGCTGGCTACAATTCTTATGGAATCCTAGGAATTGTAGACAATTCGGCCCAATTCGAGCCAGTTTAAGATCAATTCCTAGGGTTTCATACGAATTGTGGGCAATACGGTCCAATTCGAGCCGATTTCAGGCCAATTACATAACAATTCTTAGGACTCCATACCAATTATAGTCAGCTCAAGCCAAGTCTAGCCAGTTTCAGACCAATTCCATACCAATTACTGGGGTTCCATAAGATTTTTAGGTGACTTGGCCCAATTCTAGCCAATTCCAATTCCTACAATTCCAATTCCAATTCCAATTCCAACCAATTCCTACCAATTCCAATTCCAATTCCGTCAATTCCAAGCCAAGAATTGGAATTGGAATTGGTTGGAATTGGAATTGGTGCATCCCTATTTACTATGAAATACTTTCGGAAACAAAGTATAAGTCGATAAAAAAAAAGTGAAGCCTTTGTGCAAGTATGTCAACATGATAGTCCTTGGTTTGCGAAAAGTTACTCTTTCTGATTAGTTTCTGATTTTGGAAAAAAAATTCTGATTTTTTTTCTGATTTTGAAAACAAGAATTTCTGACTTTTAAGTTTTTCATCTAGCAACTCTGGTGAAAATACCAGAAGCGATTCTTTTCTTCATTCTTCATAGAAAGAACAAGCAAAAAGTGCAAGTGTGATTCAGACAGAAGAAAACAAATTGAGCTACTATCTAATTCAAAAATAAATAAGCAATTCTAAAAAAGTAAAATTTCAGTGGGCAAAAACTTACTAATAAAAATTAAAATAGGCAAATCATCAAATAAAATGGGCAATTGCCCATTTGTCCCTTCCTTGGCTACGCCGCTGATTAAGCTATAATCATGCGTTGTATGCGTTTCTGTTGTATCGTCTTATCAATAAACACTGCTTTCTGTTGTTGTTTTGCGTGCGCTGTATCCTTGAAAAGTCAATAGTATAACTAAAAGAAACTGACTTGTTTCTAACTGTCAATCGTATTTTGGTGTGCATCAACTATGTGAAACCACTTGCATGTGCATACCGAATTGGTTGAAATAATTCGAGTAATAGTGAAAGTTCTATGAGAAAGAAGTAGAGAAAATAATATTGTAAAATGCGCGCATTATACAAAGAGAAACAATATGTTTAGTGTAGCAGAGATGTCCATCGCGGCGCTGCCGCGATGGCCTGTGGCGGCAGCGGCAGCGGCAGGTTTTTTAAAAGACCATCGCGGCAGCGGCGCGGCAGCGGCAGGATTTTTCTGGGGAACATTGAAAAACTGCATGAATTTAATAGAATTTCAGGGTTTACAAATGAAACACCCGAGACTGAATGAATCTGCTGGTCTAGTACCAATATCTCTGGTCAAATATAGCCGCAGCAGTGAAATTAGAAACACTTTTTTGTAAACCACCGCGGCAGTGGCGCGGCGGCGGCACGTTTATTTTATAATTCATCGCGGCAGCGCCGCGGCAACATTTTTTTATAAACCGTCGCGGCGCGGCTGCGGTGCGGCAGCTTTTTTTTCTAAGGCCGCGGCGCGGCAGCGGCAGATTTTCAGCCGCGATGGACATCTCTGTAGTGTAGCCGAAAAACACTTCTGTTGAATAAAAGGAAAAAACAGAAAATCTGTTCTGTAAAAGAAAACAAAAAAGGTGAATTGAATTTTATAACGATATTTCTTTGATGACTTCTTAACGTAGATATGAAATATATTAATTAACTA